GTGAAAGAATTGAAAAGGGTATCAAAAGCGGTATGGTTACAAACTTCGAGGCCTTGCAAGCTACAAACAATGCTTTACAGTCCGGTGGTGTGTCCAAAAAAAGGGACGTAGGGGTCGTGATGGTTGCACAAAGGACTAAATCTTCCCTCAAATACCAAACTTACCCAACACCTCCACTCATATATCAGCCGACCCCAAATTACCAAGCACCTTCACCCTCATACCAAGCCCCACCACCAACTTATCAATCACCTCCACCTCATACGTATCAACCTACCTCACCTAGATATTCCTAACCCACACATGTATACCAAGCCTATAATTCTCAACCATCCCACTATCAATCACCTCCTGCACGCCAAAACTTCCCTAGACCTCGGCCAAACTTCGATCGCAGACCTCCAAAACAATATACAGCCATTGCTGAACCCATTGATCAGTTGTATAAGAGACTCAAAGCCACTGGTTATGTCACCCCCATCCCTGCTACAACCCTTGAGAACCCTTCTCAGTGGGTTAACCCAAACAAATCATGTGCATACCACTCCGGCATGAAAGGGCACACCATCGATGAATGTTGTTCCTTGAAAGACAAGATCCAGTCTTTAATTGATAACAAGATTATTATGGCAAAGGAACCTGCTCCAAATGTCCGCAACAACCCTATGCCATACCATAAGTGTGGAGGTATCCACATAATTGAAATAGAAGATGACTGGAATCCCGAGGGATTAATCGGGTTGATCGCAGAAGGTGTTGAGGTGAATATGTATGTGCCACTTGAGTTTGAAGAAACATCATCTGCAAAAACACCAGCACCAATTGAGGTTAAATTCGTGTCTCCAACAAATGCACTCGCACCATTTGAGGTTATAGTTTTGCCACCTAAAGCACACGCTCCGTTCGGAGTAAGGGTAGCCACGACGATCCCAGTGGCGATGTCGACCATGAAACCATTCCATACAAAGGATGTACCCTGGGACTATACAGCCAAGGTGAGGAGGAAAGGCAAGGTCAGGTTCGAAGAGACTATTGCAACACAGGGTATGACGAAAACTAGTAGAATCTATACCCCTGAACATCTAGCTGAGTCAAGCAAGAATGCCTCTAATTGGCCACCCATCATTGAGATAGGTCCAGATGAACTCTAGAGGAAAATACAGGCCAAGGAATACTCGGTCATCGACCAGTTGAACAAAACACCGACGCAAATCTCCATTCTTGCTTTGCTGCAAAATTCTGAGGCACACAAGAATGCTCTGTTAAGGTTACTAAGCGAAGCATACGTGCCAAGTAGCATCACTGGTGGGGAAATGGCTAACATGGTAGGATAGGTGCTGGAGAGCCATAAGATCACCGTTCATGAGGACGAGCTGCCACCTGAAGGGTTGGGCACAATAAGGCACTGCACATCACTGTGCAATGCGAGGACTATTTCATCACCAGAATCTTGATCGATGGAGGTTCCAGTCTTAACATTTGTCCGCTGGTAACACTCAAGAAGTTGGGAAAAGGACTATACAAGATAAAAGATGGAGCTATCAATGTGAAAGCCTTCGATGGATCCCAGAGGTCCACCATTGGTGAGATTGTACTATGCTTGCAAATGGGACCAACATAGTTCGATGTCGATTTCCAGGTGATAGACGTCCCAGCATCTTACAACTTACTGTTGGGATGGCCGTGGATTCATGCCACTGGGGACATAGCATCAACGCTGCACCAGGTAGTAAAATTCAAATGGAATCACCAAAAAGTGATCATTCATGGCGACGGTAGCAACCCTATATACAGTCACCAGACCATTTTGGCGATCGAGGGAAGAAGGAAGCTGGGTTGAGAGACTTACCATCACATTGAACGGGTAAATGCTGTTGACAAGGACAAATGGTGGGATAACAAAATTGAGAGTATACTGAATTGGAGTGGGTATGAACCTGGCAAGGGGCTCGGCAAGAACCTCCAAGGAATCACTAAGCCCATAAAACGCAAGAAGCATGGCACTACCTTTGGTTTGGGATATGATTACACCTGTGAAGAATTCAACAACTAGTCACCACAATGGCGGGGTCCTTATTATCCGCTAGAGCAACCTATACTGCGTGTGGAGCAGACTTTCCAATAGGCAAACATCATTTATAGGTCAGACGAAGAAGAAGCACTTGCAACGGTGAATAATTTGTTCCTAGAAGACCATGATATGGACTGTTGTGTTGTTCTCGAGGAGGACGGAGAGGAAGGCCCTTCCATACAGGCTGTGAGCAAGAATCCGAAACCTTTTTAATCATTTTTTGGACAAAAAACACTTTTGTACTACTTTAAAAAAAGTTACATAAATGAGTAAAATGCAGTATTATACTGCGAATAACTTTAACGGAATATTATACTCCAGACGAACTACCAAATAATAACATAAAAGTGAGTATGTGCAACACAACTCAATTTAAAACAAGTAAGTGTAGGTACATATTTACCTGTCCGTCCACCAGCATATCTAGCACATCCCTGATAAGGGGGAGATTATGATGAGCATCGGTCCCTCGGTAGTTCCCACGCCGGAGAATCCACCTAGAAGCTAGAGGGAGAAATGGATAAGCCTCTCCAGGCGCAAGTGGTGGTAGAGGTGGCTGCAACGGCATGATCCGCTGCCAGGCCCAAGCCTAAGATAAAAGGTTGATGTAAAATTTATGAGTTATTTCGACCATATAGAATGCGGAGAAATGAACAGAGTATTCGAAAATGTTGTCACCTGTAGGAGGGGCAGAAAACCACATATGTCCACCGCTGGGCCCATGCTCGCCCGACACATGCTCTTATATAGGTATGCGAGAACATCAGCACCCCAACTGTACTGGGGTAAACCATCCAACTGCTGAAGATGATGGAGAAAGCGCATACTCACTTTACTTCCCGAAGTGTTTGAGAACAAGACACACCCGAAAAGCAGGAGCAGTGCCAACCGCGTGTACCTCTCAATGTGGAGATCCTCAGTCTCGCCGGTAATGTCTGGGTGCAAAAATTCCATATGATCTCTGATGGTTGACAAAGCAACGCGACTGCCCCCAGCGTCACCCTGAGGTCTATAACCAGTAAGATGCCCCATCATATCCAAAAACTGTGCACGTATCATGGATCTAATGTACTGGGGCAGTGCTACGGCCTGTCCATCTACGCGTAGCCCATACAAAACCTGAACATCCTCCAGCGTGATGGTGGCCTCTCCAGTGGGCAAGTGAAAA